CCCTGGGCAACACTTACTGCTAGTCTTTTTGATATGGGCCATTCTCACAAGTGTGAGGTATTATCTCGTGGTTTTGATTTGCATTTCCTGATCGGTGATGACAGGCATTTTTGCATGTGCCTATTGACCATCCTAACAGACTTTTTATTGTGTTTGTATTAACTAAAAACTTCGTGTTTTCTTCGTGTGAATTGCCAAGAGAGGTCTTCCCCTACTCTGTACACTTAATTATTATTTTAACTTGATAACCCTTAATAAATATTCAGGGTCACACATTTTTCATTTTTGATGATTTCAGCTCATCCTCAGTCCACTGAGAATTCAGAATATCACATACATGTTCAGTATTAACTCCCAATTTTTGCATTGACTATCGATTTGGTTAACTTGTCTTTGATAAATTCATCTAGATGGTTCCTTTTAAACTGTTAAAGTATGGGTCTAAAGTTTGAGTGGTGGTTAACAACTATGAGTCTGTTAAACTATTGTCATCAAGTTCCTTGCCACTCAGACTGATTCTGGGATCAGCAGCATCAGCATCCTCTTGGAGGCTTATTGAACATGACTTTCAGGCCCTACCCCAAACCCACTGAGTCAGAATCTATATTTTAACAATCTTCCCATGTAAATTCAAAATACTAAACCTTGACAAGCGCTGTCCTACCCCACATTTCTCCAAAAACAATGAGAAACCTTTCCAGACTCTGTTCAGAAACCAAGAATGTAGTCAGTAGTATAACAACACTATCTGGCCAACCCCAGAGAAGCACTCTAGGTGATACTAATGTGCAAGCCAAGGTTGGAAAATATTCCTATGTAAAGCAAATGAGGTTAATTTTCAGAGAGCCCCACTTCTGGTGAATATACTTCTCTGTTGTGATCTATCTGATAGTCTGTGACAAAATTTTCTTCCTAGGTTTGTTGTCAGATTTTGTGCTAGGGGTTTATAGACTTCATTTTCATTGAAGATTCAGTCATTTTTAAATCTAGTATTTTATCATCTCCCTGTTCTCTATAATTTCTCAAAGATTATCATGAGAAGTTTTTACAGTTTTGTCTCTTGGTTCTCTCGGAGTTTGTTTTTACCATTATGTCCAGTTGGAATGTGATTCACAAAGTTGAATAAATTACAAACGAAATAGAAGTTGAGTGCCTCTACCTTCCATCTTCTGCTACTATAATAACTCCCCCACACGCTCAGTACAAGACCCTTTGTTTTAGATTGTTTTTCAAAGACATTTAAAAAGTTTTTCCTAGGTTTTTGCAAGTTTCTGTTTTTTAATGGGCTTTAACCTGCCAGATGCTATTCTTTTGTGTGTGTGTGTGTGTGTGTGTGTGTGTGTGTGTGCCATTCTTATAACAGTGAGTTTTCTCTTATTTTGGTTTATGTTCTTATCAGACATTTTTGCTTTTGCTTTATATGTTTAACACCTTTCAACCCTAGAGAGTTGAACTTTTTTGTAAATTATTTTCAAACTTATTTATTGCTCCTTCACAAGTGGAATTCATCCTAATTTCATGTTATTAGTGTTCAGAATTTTAACTGCTAAAGAACATTAGCCAAATGTTACGGGTAGTTCTCTTTGGTTTGAGGAATTATGACTGATGTTTCTTTTTCCTTTGATCTTTTCTGTTTTTTAAACTTAGCTGCTTACTATTATGATACCAAATTGTATTAGCTACATATGGAAATTTGGCCGTTGTTTTCATTTGCCTGGCCTAACTTTTATGTGCATTTTTTAAGCTGTTGATTTTCAGTCTTCTCAAAGTTTTGGGTTATTATAAAAACAAATTTCAAAAATGTCTAGTTTATTCTTTAAAAAAAAAAAAGATTTATTTATTTATTTATTTATGCATACAAGAGCTGGGGTTCAGGCCAGAGATGCAGGGGTGAGAGGATTCACCAGAGACAGAGTGAGGAGCAGAGCAGGCAGATCTACTGAAATACACTGAGGGGAGCAGCAGGCGAGACAGGAGAGGTCTGCTGTGCTATGTGGGTCACCTCCCTGGCCGGGGATTGAACTTGTGCTGCAGTGGCTGTAGATAGCTTCATAGTGCTGCATCTTAACCCCTTGCACCACTAGGGAGGCCCAAAAATGTCTAGTTTATTCTTATCAAAAGTAAGGAATCTTAGTTATGCGATTAGGAATTCCAAAAATACTAATCTCCCCCTTCCTTGAGATGTTCATTATTTCTTCACACAATGATAGGATAGTTCTAAGAATAATGATCTAAGGAAAACAGTAGAGGTCTGTAATATACCCATGTCTAGACTGAAATTTGTTTAGGCGCAGCAGACAGGTAGCAGGGCTTCTTTGTTTAATTATATGCAAGAGTTTGTTTTTATATTTTTCTTTAGTATTGACTTCTGAACTTCATGTGTTCTGTATGAAGTTAAATCCTAAAATCAATGTATACTACCTCTTCCACAAATCTTCATATGTTCGTGGGATTAACTTTTGAGAAACTGGGGTTAGAAGGAAACAAGAGAATGACATTTTCATGTATTATCTATAGCAAGACTTGGCAGGCTTTTTCTATAAAAGACCAGATAGTGAAAATAAATAAATAAATATATTGCTTTGCTGATCAAAAAGCAAAATTGAGTATATAATTATATAAGGAAAGAAGTCAGATTTCTAAGAAGTATTTCTTGCTATACTTAAAATGTAATGATAATGGAGTACAGTGTTTGGTAATACAGGTCTGTTGAGAAGAGTGGCATTCTTTTTAGTGGGTGTATATAACATCTTGCTTTGCTAAGCTTCAGCATGTTCCTTATCAGAACCACTTGCAGATGTCCATTTATTGTTGCTGACTTGAAATGAGGATGTTACATATTTCATCTTAGATCATGTCTTTTCACACATTGGTATTGTATAATCAGTACACACATGCTTTTAATAAAGCATATTCTTCACTTGGAAGGCATTCTGTTAAGGTGTTTTTTTTTTTTTACCTTTTTTTAAAAAATTTATTTATTTATACAAGCACTGGGTACAGTCAGAAACGTGGGAGGGTGAGAGAATTCACCAGAGCGGGGAGCAGAACAGGCAGACTGATGAAGTACACTGCTGAGGGGAGCAGCGAGCGCAGCACGAGGCCATGTGGAACCCTCACCGGCAGCCGGGGATCGAACTGGCGCTGCAGAGGCTGCGGGCAGCTTTGCAGCCCAGCACTCAAGCACTGCGCTGCCACCGGGGAGGCCCTGTTAAGGTTCTTAATGCTTACCTTAACATCATTACATTGCAGAGTTAATTGAGGTTAAGGTTGAAGCTTCTGAATGGATTTCCATATAAGAGAATACCCTTTATACTTGCATTGAAGTCCAGAAACACTGCTGGAACTATAATTTGTGCTCAGAAAATATATCTTCTATAAATTTGTGTAGGAATGGAGCTTTCATTTCTTTGATAGTACACAAGAATGCACAAAACAGGGCCTTCCTGGTGACGCAAGGGGTTAAGCAACACACTGTGAAGCAATCTGCAGCCTCTACAGCATGAGTTCAATCCCTGGCCGGCCAGGGAGAAACCCACATGTTGCAGCAGACCTCTCCTGACCCCTGCTGCTCCCCTCAGCAGTGTATTTCAGTCAGTCTGCCTGTTCCGCTCCCCACTCTATCTCTGGTGAATCCTCTCACCACCTGTATCTCTGGCCTGTACCCCGGCTCTTGTATGCATAAATAATTTATTTTTAAAGTGCACATAACAGCTTCACATTGTGATTCCAATGTTAGTTATTGTTGAAATGACTTTGCCACAATATAAGTTTTGCATATAAGCACTGTTTTGCTGTGTCATTTTAGGTTGAATTCATTAATAAACATAGTCTGCAGGTAATTTCCCAAGTCATTTGTTGGTAATAGTAATTGAAGATAGTTGTTCGCATTCAGAAAAAAAATTTTCAGTCTTGGCCCTGAGTACAACAAATCACATAAAACTTTACCAATGTTAAGACATCAAAAGGAAATTCAATTTCTGTTTCTGACAAAAATTCACAGAATTGATGGTTTAAGTCCACGGTAGTGAAGTTTCACCATTGACACTACTGTTTCAGATATTTTCTACAAGCTATCTGCTGATGTATGATATAACAAATAGACATTAAACCCCTTACATTTTCACAAGCTTTGTGAATTCGTCCAATTATATAGTTTTCTGCTCTACACATGTTTTTATCACCATTTCAGTTGTAATAACACATCTTAGCACATTCCTCTTCAGGTTCTACTTAATTAGTGTTTTCTCAACTTCTTTGAAAACATTATCACTTGTAGTTGTTCCATGCAGACCATTCAGAGAGGCTACACCTTGTAGTTACTTCAGAATCTTTGAGTTCCTTCAATAACCACTCAAAATCATTTGCTGCCTTGTTTTTTTACTTGATAATTGCTATATCCCAGTATCCTCACTTTTGAGCAACTGTTCTCACCAAAGGCTTATAATCCTTTAATAAGTTTATTTTCTCTGGACTTTTAGCTTCTGTAGTCAAGCAATATTTAACATCAGTGGATGGCTTTCCTTTTCTTAGTCAACAAATGAGTGACTGGGATACTTACTTTGGTTGAAGCCTCATTTTTTACTTTTGTGAAGAAATATTTTATGATTAGAGTTGGTTGAAAATTTTCTGATATTTCAGATCTTAGCTTTCTGATTTTCAGATGAAAGCAGCCATAGACAATACAGTAATGAATGTATATGACTGTTCCAGTTAAACTTGATAAAAGTGAAATTTGTATTTCATACAATTTTCACAAAACAACACCATTTTAAAAGTATAAAAGACATAAGGAGGGAAAGAGCAACACGGCTGAATCTGGCCCATGAGCCACTAGATTGCTGACCCCTAATCTAGTCTTTTTTTTTTTTTAATGTATAACAGTACTTTTCAGGAGTTTTTCTATCATGAAATATTCATATGAGGTCTTAAAATCTGTGTCCTGACCCATATTCTGGATTTTCACATAGTTAAAATGGCTATCTCCTTTCTCCTTTTAGATAATTTTCCACTTGTTCATCAAGATGGAAAGCTCAGATTCTAACGATAAAGGAAGTGGTGATCAGTCTGCAGCACAGCGCAGAAGTCAGATGGACCGATTGGATCGGGAAGAAGCTTTCTATCAATTTGTAAATAACCTGAGTGAAGAAGATTATAGGCTTATGAGGGATAACAATTTGCTAGGCACCCCAGGTATGCAATATATACTTTAAGAATTTATATGTGTAAGTTGCTGTTTCATTTTGGGTTTTTATATTTGAAACTTGTTTTAAAAATCTATTTCTTTTTTAATTATTATTTTTTTATTTTTTACGTTATTGTTCATTTTTAAACAATATTTGGTCCCCCCGCCCCCTCAGGTGTAGTCCCCGTAGAGTTACCTTCACCAATGCACCGGTGCACCATCACCACAGTCCCCTGTTGCTCCCCCCTCCCTCCCTCCGATCCCTCTCCCTCCTCCTCCCCTGCAGTATGTCTCTGATTTACAATTGTCTGTTTTTGCTTTGCTGTGTTTTGTACTGTTGTTATTTTTTTTACACTGATGTCTTATTTGGCTCCCCTATATTCCTGCTATAAGTGAAACCATCCGGTATTTTTCTTTTTTCCGTCTGGCTTATTTCACTGAGCATAATTCCTTCTAGCTCAATCCACATTGTTGTGAATGGCGTGAGTTTACCTTTTTTGATAATATTCCATTGAATAATATTCCATTGTGTATATGTACCACATCTTCTTGATCTAGTCATCTATTTTTGGGCATTTGGGTTGTTTCCAGGTTTTACCTATTATAAATAGTGCTGCAGTAAACATAGGAGTACAGGTGTTCTTTTGAATCAGTGTTTAGCCATTTTGCAGTATGATTTCAATACAAATGACATTTACAGCTGTACTTCACTACTTGGTTCTATTCACCATGTTTAGAATTATTCTGTATCAGATTTATATGTTATGAATTATATTATGAATTTCTAGTGAGCTTAATTGAAATGGAAAGAATAGAACAATCTTTTCATTGTTAGTTAAAGCTTTATTTAAGTAACTGGACGTGAGTCCAAGTGCGGAATAGCTAAATGGGGACTTTAGTTCCTAGGCAGGCTTGTTTTATTTTGTCATTTCTGACTTCCTGAATATGTCCCAATAATAATCCTTTGGAGCTAGCCTTGAGTAAAACTGTCAATTATTCAGAATTTTGTGCTTGGTTATTCTTTTTGCCCAGTCACGTTCCATTTGATTCTAATTAAAAATTTATTATCTCTCTTCCTCCTTTCTATTTAGTTCTACTATGTTTTGGATATTAGCTTAAATTTTAAAGGTATGGTATTAGCATGATTCTATAGAGGGAGTGTACTTTGAGCCAAGAATACCAGACTTGAATCAGAGTGCCTAAGTGTGACATTCTGGCTTTACCATTTATTAGCTGTGACTTCTGGCTCATCAGTGTCTCACTCAGTCTCAGTTCCACTGTTTTAAGATGCAGATAATAGTCGTATCTACCTTCTACAGTTGCAGTTTTGAAAAGTGAGATACCATATGCAAAAGCATTTTGTAAACTGGAAATACACTTGTAGAAACGTAAGTTGTAATATCATGCTCCCAAAGAAGTGAATTTTACCAGATTTCCTGTTTATGCCATGGTTTTCATCACAGGGTTAAGAGTCATTGTTTTTAATTTGTAATTTGGCAAACATTTTAAAACTATTTTCAGGTGAAAGTACTGAGGAAGAGTTGCTAAGAAGACTACAGCAAATAAAAGAGGGCCCTCCACCACAAAACTCAGATGAAAATAGAGGTATATTTTGCTTGGGGTTACAGGGATGGGTAGAAGATAGAGTTAATAAATAACATAATAATAAATGTGAGGCAGACATTATCCATAATTGGAAGTTTTGAGGCTAAGTAACTGCTTATAAAAAGAGAGTGACATTTTCTTGAGATCTGGTGAGAATGTCAACATGGTTTTTTTTTTTCTGCTTCACCTTTGGGTTGTTTGTGTTAATTGGGATACAGTGAGAGATGGCCTATTTAAGTATGTGACTTATAAACATGCGACTTCTTCACCAGCAGGAAAAATGCTTCATTTTTTTACCAAGTGGTTTTCAGTTGGGTATAATTTTGCCCCCTAAAAGAGATTAGCAATATCTGGAGGCATTTTTGGTTGTCATGACTGGGGTTTGCTACTGGAACTGAAAGGTAGCAGCCAGGGATGCTGCTGAAAATCCTAACATACTAAAATATACCGCACTTCCCCCCACAATAAAGAATTCTCTTTCTCAAAATGTTATTAGGGCCACTGTGGAGAAATCCTGCTCTGAACCCAGGTCTAATATCCCCTCCAATGTGAAGTAAGGAATTTGACTATCTAACTTAAGAGGCTGTTATGACAGTTTGGTTCTTGACTATGCCATTATATATTCTGTGATAGGTTCAGATTGTACATTTGGTCTGGTCTCCAATTTCATGTCAAGTTTAAATGTTGGTAATATGGAGAAATATTCAAATACTTTTAAGCCCATAAGCCTTGTTTATACTTTTGCAATGGCTATAACAGTCTTGTATTTTAAAACATCCTATATTATCAAAGTTCCTTAAGTTAAATGCCTTGAAGTAATGTTACAGATTTATGAAAATTTGACAAAAATGTGAACCAAACTATAATACTATGCCTGTACCTTAATTGGTGCTCACCTTGCCGATTGTGTTAGTGTTTTGCCAGTGGACTGAAAAAAAACTGTCTTCTGACAGTCCACAGTATATGAAGTACTGAAAATAGACTTCCTCCAGATTCCCTTTTGAAAAAATACCCTAAATTCCACTAAGATTAACTTGCCCTTTGAAAATGGAATTGACATTTTCTTGCCTTTACTTGCAGATCTTCCCAGTATAATATACAAAAATCTGTAAATGAGAAATCTGTTCATAATCTTTCAGTTCTTTTTAATACAAAGTTTTAGAACACTATTACATGATTGTCCTAACTTTAGTAGTCCCATTTTCTCCCTCTCCCCTCCTTTTTTTAAAAAACAGGTGGAGATTCCTCAGATGATGTGTCTAATGGTGACTCTATAATAGACTGGCTTAACTCTGTCAGACAAACTGGAAATACGACAAGAAGTGGGCAAAGAGGAAACCAATCCTGGAGAGCAGTGAGCCGGACTAATCCAAATAGTGGTGATTTCAGATTCAGCTTAGAGATTAATGTTAACCGTAATAATGGAAGCCAAAATCCAGAAAATGAGAATGAGCCATCTGCAAGACGTTCTAATGGAGAAAATATGGACAACAATAGCCAGAGGCAAGTGGAAACTCTACGATCTGACTCAACATCTGCAAGGCCATCCAGATCAGAACGAAATTCAACTGAAGCATTAACGGGAGAAGCCCCACCTACGAGAGGTCAGAGAAGGGCAAGAAGTAGGAGCCCAGACCATCGGAGAACCCGGGCAAGAGCTGAAAGAAGTAGGTCACCTCTGCATCCAATGAGTGAAATTCCACGACGATCTCATCACAGTATCTCATCTCAGACTTTTGAGCATCCTTTGGTCAATGAGACTGAGGGAAGTTCTAGAACCCGGCACCATGTGACATTGAGACAGCAAATAAGCGGACCTGACTTGCTAAGTAGAGGTCTTTTTGCAGCTTCTGGAACAAGAAATGCCTCTCAAGGAGCAGGTTCTTCAGACACAACTGGCAGTGGCGAATCTACAGGATCAGGTCAGAGACCTCCAACCATAGTCCTTGATCTTCAAGTAAGAAGAGTTCGTCCTGGAGAATATCGGCAGAGAGATAGCATAGCTAGCAGAACTCGGTCAAGGTCTCAGACACCAAACAACACTGTCACTTACGAAAGTGAACGAGGAGGTTTTAGGCGTACGTTTTCACGTTCTGAGCGGGCAGGTGTGAGAACCTATGTCAGTACTATCAGAATTCCCATCCGTAGAATTTTAAATACTGGTTTAAGTGAGACCACATCTGTTGCAATTCAGACCATGTTAAGGCAGATAATGACAGGTTTTGGTGAGTTAAGCTACTTTATGTACAGTGATAGTGATTCAGAGCCTAGTGGCTCAGTCTCTAGTCGAAATATGGAAAGGGCAGAATCACGGAATGGAAGAGGGGGTTCTGGTGGTGGTAGCAGTTCTGGTTCCAGTTCGAGTTCCAGTTCAAGTTCCAGTTCCAGTTCCAGTTCCAGTTCCAGCCCTAGTTCCAGTTCCAGTGGTGAAAGTTCAGAGACTAGCTCAGAGGTGTTTGAAGGCAGTAATGAAGGAAGCTCATCATCAGGCTCATCAGGTGCCAGGCGAGAGGGTCGACATAGGGCCCCAGTAACATTTGATGAAAGTGGCTCTTTGCCTTTCCTTAGTCTGGCTCAATTTTTCCTCTTAAATGAGGATGATGATGATCAACCTAGAGGACTCACCAAAGAACAGATTGACAACCTGGCAATGAGAAGTTTTGGTGAAAACGATGCATTAAAAACCTGTAGTGTTTGCATTACAGAATATACAGAAGGCAACAAACTTCGTAAACTACCTTGTTCCCATGAGTACCATGTCCACTGCATCGATCGCTGGTTATCTGAGAATTCAACTTGTCCTATTTGTCGCAGAGCAGTCTTAGCTTCTGGTAACAGAGAAAGCGTTGTGTAATTAAGGTCTGAACTGTCAGCTATGAAGCTGGTATAGTGATGGGCAAACAGGAATCACTTGCTTTATGTCCACTTTTTGAGTGGTGCTTAAATGTAAAGTAGCAACCTGAATTGAGTCACTGCTTTCTGAATGAATCATTGTCCTTTCTCCAGTTTCTGTTCCAGAATAAAAGGAAATATTTAAAAAACAATGTTTTAGGACACAAAAATCTGATTTCAGTATCAGTAATTGGTATTACTGATCATTTACTATATACACTTGGCATTTTCTCCTTTGTTATCTTAAAAGATCTGCCTTATCAATGGCTCTAATCTGTTTGACGTTGATCTTTAAAGTTTCCCATGCCATAGGAGAGAGGGCTGAAGGAAATTCCCAGTTTAGAATAAGTTACAGTAAATGTTTCCTAAGTGATTGCTTAAAGCTATACTGTTCCCAGTTATTAGTTGGCACAAATTCAACTACGTTATGAATATTATTTGTTCGCCTTTCAGATGAGGTGATATTGGACATGTCAGTGTAAATAACACTAAGGTTAGGATCTTCTAAATGTATAACTGTCTCCTAAGCCCATCACTGTGGCACACTGTAGAGTGAGCTTATAGTTTAATTGAGATATTTATCTTGTGGAAATATTAAAAAAAAAAAGCTTATGCTTGTGTAAGTGAAAAAAATCACATTCATTTCTTTAAAAATGTAAAGCTATTTTGTAGAGGCTCAGTACTTTTCCAATGCACTGTTGTATTAATGCATTAAAAATTGTAAAGTACCATGCTTAGAAATGAAAAAACTGCTTTTTGTGAGCCAACATAGTAAAAAACACACCAAACAAAGTACAAAGCTGCTTTTGTAAGTGTGTAGATGTCAAGAGCAGAACATATCTATAATATTTAATGTATGTGAACAGCTACTGTGACATGCAAAGGAAAGGACAGAGTGCAGAATTGAACTGCATTGAAGACCAATGGAAATTGTGTATTTTAACTTGGATTTAGGCAGGAAATGAAAGATGGGAGGAGTAAAGAAAATTGCTCTAAAGAATTTAAACTTTTCATGAAGACAGTAATCATACAGATGTGGACTGCTTTCATTCAGTGAGATCCTTGACACAGTATTCTACTTGAGCAGATGAAGTAGATCAGCAAATTTGGCAGAGCTTTGGTTTAAGAAAAACTACTACCGCCAGGCACAAGTTACATTGATGTTTTCTGGGTTTTTTGGTTTTTTTGTTTTTGTTAAAGTCTGCTCCTCAAAAAAAAAAGGAAAAAAAGGATGGAGGAAAGGGACTCTAAACCACTCTTAGCATAAGAATTGAGATTGGTAAAAATCTGTATTCTAATCAGAATGTCTCTAATTTGCATTGTTTTTTGAGATTTGAAAATTAAGGTACCAGTGCACACTTATTAATGTTTTATTACTGTCTCTAACACAGACCTAACATCGCACATTTAAAGATCAGTTGAAGAATTAAGGGGCGTTTATCCTTAATTGAAAGTGAGTCTTGTTGGGTTACTTGAAATTCAAATTTCAGTTGTGCTGCCCATATTTGAAGATGAGACTGTTGTCATGAGCTATGGGACAGGCACTTTATGTTTCCTTAGTACTAAGAATAGGTTTGTGAAGAACCCTAGTACTCTTGCTGAATTTGTCTTGAGGCCAGGTTGGGGTTAGGATTAGTCTGACTGTGGAGGGCTGTTTTTCTGGGAAATTCTAATAGGCCCAAAGAGGAATTTAACACATCCCTGGCCTTGAACAAAGTGAGCTAACTACCCAGGCATAGTCAAATACTCTACAAAATAAGCAAGTCTGCTTTAGGAATTATTTGGCTATCTTAACTGTTACCAGTTTAGCTGTAAAGATTATTTCAAAGCTCATTCTTTCATGTTTTCCTCTGGCTTTCAATCCTACCTAAGTATCAAGGAAATTTAATTTGTAAATACAGTAGTTGTTTACTAAGGATATGTACTGCTCTTGCAAGGAAATAATGTCCAAACAAAGCTTCACTTATTTTTTTTTATATAAGCAGATTTCACTGCTTATGGCGCTTATGTAATACATTTTATCTTTTTAAAAAAAATTGTCCATGTGAAAGTCAGGATTCCTTTATATTTGTGAGCCTCCTTGTCTCCTTTCCTAAGGGTATAATCTACGGTTTTCAGATCTGCAAGATAGTCCTCATTGGCTAAAACCAAACCCACTTTTTTCTTGATAAAAAATGTCCCATTATTATAGGGGTGTTCATTTAAAATAGGTTTAAAAACACCTGTAGCACATTCTAAGCATTAAAGAAAGTTATTGACAACAGGTACCTCCCTAACCTCCCAAGATGTATTACTCATTTGTGAAGTATTAAAGTAAGAGGTAACTCATGCAGAATGCTGGTTATGAATGTAGATATTGAAGCTATTCATAAACACTGGAAATAGATTTTTAAGTTTTTAGCCTCCAGTAGAATGCACATTGGACATGTGCATGTGGACACCTTTTCCAGCCGCACTCATTCATTTCCTTTGAATTATGTAGAATGGATAAAAATATTTCAGTGGAATTTGCTACTTTTTATTTCACAAGGTCCATAACTAATATATACTTAATAATATTGTGGACATTGAAGACAAGGTCATTTGTAGGTGTCAGATGTACAATGGAGAACAAAAATATTTTTTTTCTACCAGCATCCAAACACCTGTTTTCTCGAGGGAGCATTTTCTTGCAAAAGACTTTACATTTCATTTTGTATCTTTGCACTTTTTCTTTATTACAGAAAGGTTCTGTCTTGAAGACCTAGTTTGAACTTCATGCAGTAATAGGAACAAAAAAGCAAAGCTGGGAGATTACATTGTTCAAGGCATAGGGGAAAAGTACTAAAAACTGAGTTTCCTTGAATATTTCAGATATTTTTAAAAATTTACTGGCCCGAAGTGTCTGAAGTGTATTGTTAACTCCAAGCAGCTGACAAGTTGAGATTTTTAGGTACTAAAACCAAAATTGAACAAGTTAACTTTAAAGTTGGCGGGCTTTATCTGTAGCATCACTGGAAAATGAATCATGTTAATTTGGAATATTTGCTCAAAAGAGAACACATTGGTTGTACCTCAGTGGTATTAGTGGTTAATGAAGGTGGGGATTGAAAAAAGTGTTCACATTAGTGTTGACGTATAGGTAATAATCGTGCAACTAACAAAAAATGTTTAGCATCAGGATTTTATATGAATATATATATATATATATATGTTCTCTAAAAACATGATTGTTGGTATTCACTCAAATTGTAAGATTAGGAAATTGATTAGGTATGTTACCTCGGATAATTTTTTCCACTGGGAAAATGCGTCCTTTCCGTGCCAAGTATTCTCTTCTAGTGTCAGTTTCTCAAATAATATTTATCAAAGGTTATCACTTAATATGCTCTGTACTTAACCACCTGCTTCCCACATATCCATGATGTAAGTTGGGTCAAGCATCAACCGTGACTTAAAGTCAGTTCCCAAAATACTCAGGTGATAGGGAGGTGAATGTTGTGAAATGTCTCTTAAAAGTCCAATTTTTCAGCTTGCCTAAAACACTGGCAACTTGTGGATGTTAATTGCTACTTTAAGGATGGAGGATATTTTTACCCTTTCCCCCCAACACACATTCATTTGTTTTCTCCCTTTTGTGAACAAAAAATATTTGTAATCTGCCTTGTTAGATTTTTTTTAAAGTGTTACCTTACTGGCTTTCCTGTCAAATGTATTACCAATATTCAAGCCACATTTGCCAGGGTACTTTTATTCTTTTCTTGTCTTATGAAACTATGCTGATTGCTACTTTTTAAAGTATTGGGTACCTTAGTAATGCAAGAGGTTGACAAGGCACATGTCAGGCAGTTTCCCCCTTGAGTATAGTATGATTCTTCAGTATGTTTAATATTCAATAACAGTGTTGTAATTCACTGAATTAACTAATAAATTGCGTACATTTGAAAAAAATTAAAAATTAAATCAGCATTTTTATTTCGAAAGTTGAAGGGAAAAGTGAGAAACTAGTATTTTACTTATTTTAAAGTCAGACTTAATAAGGAACTAAGAAACAGTATGAGCTTGGTACTGGTCCTTTTAAAGTCTAACATTCTGAAATAAGAATTCTTAACTGGAATGCTTCTAAAATATTATCTACTATCCCCAACAAGTGGGCGATTTAAGTTACTCCATTTTGTACTAAAATACAGCATAGGATAGAACTTGTTACTAAGGTGTTGGACCTCTCAAGGAATAACAGATTGTATCAGTTTTACGAATATTTTCATTTTGTTTCATGTTTTAATTCAAGTTTGAAGGAAATAGGCACACCCTCCAACATCAAAATTAGTGAGATATTTGCTTTTGATTAGGATTTGTTTACTAACAGACCTATAAGCTGCTTTAGAGTCACTTGGATTGAATGAGACGCAAAAGACATGCAGTGAAAGCGATCCCCATTATGCCACTGTGCCTAGTTATTTCAAGGTTCCTCTGTCATTTCCTCATCTTGCAGATTATTCCAGGTATGGTTAAACTAGTTGCCCAGCCTTAACTCTTTAGTGCCCCTTCACTAACATCCTTTTAACTGATTGATTTATACGTGTTTTAACTATCCAGTGTTTGGATTTTACCTCTTGATAGCTCCATTTGTCCCTGGTGCTGCTTTTAAAGATGTAGGGTCATGTGATCAGGTATCAGGTTGAGTAGGTACGCAATTGGCCTGATTATGTATCTGTGCCTGTTTTATCTTCTCCCAGGAAGAGCTGCTTTGGTATAGATGTTTACTTGGATTCATATAAAGAACTGGGCAGCAATCTTGGGAAGCTTTCTGAAACCTATAAGAACCTGAAGGGATTTGGAGGGGAACAGGAACAAAGGCTGCCTTTATGTCTTTGAACATGAAGCACATAAATGTATGTTCTGTCAAGAATAAAGTGATTGTTATACCAGGGCTTCCCGACCTCTGGGAGAAATTTTCAAAAAATAAAAAGCAGAAAGGAGCACAAAGTGATGAGAATTCAATTGGCTTGCTTTATCTGGTTTCTGGTTTTCTTTCCATTTAAACCTGAACATAACACCCTTCTCATATATATATATATATATATATATATATATATATACACACACACACACACACACACACACATACATACACACACACACACACACACAGCAGACTCCTGGTTGGGAAGCCCTGTATTAAATTTTGAGAATGTACCCAGTTTCCTTTTTTTTGTACAGTGCTTTTACACCTGCTAAAAATTAACTTGTTTAATGCAAAACAAGACCTTGAAAGGTCAAGTCATATTAAAGCTGGTTTGATTATTAATAGTTATCTTTAGGAAGAAGCTTTTTCCCTATGTAAGATGTCATACTGCAGACTTAAAATATAGACTATCAATAAAATGCATGAAGTGATCATTTGTGCTTGATCATCTCTCCTTGGGTTTTTCTTTAAAAGGGGGAATCTGATAAAGATTCTGTTGCTTCAAGCTGATACCGAGTAGATGATTTTTAGAATGAAATGGAATCACAGTGAAACCTTGATTTTGATTCCCCTCATTATCTATGAGTACGGGCAGGTACTGGTTTATGGGACATAACTTGTGTGTTTGTATCGTTTAGTGGCTTAATCTTGAAGTGGTAAAATAAAAGATTGAAAGTATATACCAATACAAGGATCCTGGGAAAATTTATGTAAACATTTTAAGTAGGTACATCTTCGCTGTTTCCTTGTATTCTCACCATTGCCCTGACTACTCCCTCGCTTGGCCTGTATAAATACAAAAACTTGGCTAGGTGTGCATGTGTGATCATGCAGCTTCTCTTCCATCCCTACTTCCAACCTTCATGCGTATTTCTTAAACCACTAAGATGTCCTTGTTTATAAGTAGGTCATCACATTGTGATACTTTTATGAAATTTCCTCTTGGTATTCATTTAGCCAATGGTGAAATTTATTAGAGGTTCATTTTCTCTGCTACCTACAAAACTCTTATTGTTGGCAAAGGAACTCAGTTCCTTGGGATAATTTTGGTGTAGTCACCTCTTCATGACCTTCCCAGGGTTTTGTTTTTAGTGTTATTAATGTTTCTATTCTTTGAAACTCAAGACCACCACTGAAAAGTTGACCTAGGCAACAAGCCAGTGCACAGGCTTCTTGGTGACAAAGTCAGTGAAAAGGACCTTTACCCAGAACAGGATCTAGTAGAGCAGATCGTAAGCTATTTTAAATGTCATCTTAAAAAATAAGAAATGAGAATTAAAGTCCTTTGAAGTCATTGAATTCAGGCAAGATTTAAGTCTAAGACCTTGCAAATGGATCACTAATAGCTACTATTAAATAGCTAAAATTTTTCTGATTGCACTCAGGTGTTGTGTTAAGCACTCAATATAAATCATTTAATCATCACAGTGACTCCAAGGTGTAAATATTACCACCTTGTGTTACAGGTGATGTAACAGGGTTACAGATGTTTGGTAATTTGCCCAAGGCATAGTATTCCCAGTCAGATGTCAGACTCCAGGTTTATGGGAAGATCATTGTCCTTCATCATTTGAAGAAGATTCAACTTTGAGAAGATCATTGTTCTTCATTCATTTGAAGCACTGGGAGAAAGACGTATAATCCCTGTTCACAAGGCCCTGGCATTTATTTCAATGAGGAGATATGTAAAACAGTTGATAAAAGCATTACAGGTAAAGTATCAATCCCCATTCAAATAGTGTTTGAGGGGAGCAGTGAGAAGTAATGGGGTGAAGGGTTCATCTGAATTTGAAGTTTGTTTTCACAGCTAATTAAGAGGTAAGTGTATTTATCTCTTACAACACTTTAGGCATGTTGGTCTGAGGTTTCCTTTGTTTTAGGCAGGATGGGTGCCTGAAGCCTCTGAAATACTGCTGAGTTTCTCAGTGGATAGTGATGGACCTACTTTTTAAGAAAATTCACAAGTGATTCCCTGTGTACCAAATGTTCTAGAATAGGGCAGCCCAGTAGGAAAATAATGAGGGTCACATTACAAAAGATAAAAAGAGGTGAAATTTATTTTAATAGTTTTACTTAACCCAATAAGGTGAAAATATTTGACATGTTGATATAAAAATGAGACATTCACACCTTTTTTTTTCATGCTAAGTCTTTAAAATCTACCATTTAACACTTGTATCTCATTTTAGACGAGGCACATTGAAAGATATGCACTAGCAACAAGTGGCTAGTGGCTACCATATCAGACAGTGCAATTCTAAATATAGGAAAGAGTGATTAAAGTGGGTAGGATGGAAATGGCGATTTGTTTTTGAAAGTTCACCTGTGGATATCCATACCTTATCTGCTTACCTACACTACCCTAAAACTAATTAGGCATCTTTCTTTTAAACTGCAGCTTAAAAGAGTATCCACGCTTACAAAAGTACCATCTCTCCTCCCCTTTTGAAGTTAGACTACATTTCCAATGCTTTAAATCTAACTTTGAATTAGCAAAAAACAGCAGGTTGAGGCTTCCATATTTGAAAATTAAAGAAGCCGGCTATGACTGCAACATTATGTAGCAGCCAAAAAGTAAGTCGTTACTTTTATTCCAGGGATAAGCACCCATAGTTTTATGTGGATTCTTATAATTCAGTTACAGTAATACATGTAATTTCCAAGCAGTTCTATCTGAAATTGCCACATTTGAATGAATATCTGGCTTTTGTTAGAAACAGCTAACCTGGCCTTAAAATCTGCTTTCACTTTGTAGTTAGATAATGACAGTATGTTTAAGTGACAGCAACAGTGAGAGCGAGTATTTCCAAACATTAAGTCTCTGATGCCTCTGCTGAAAGTTTGGAGATTTTTTTTGTTTTGTTTGGCAACATGTTATGAAACATTAACCCCTGTGAAGAAAGAGTCTTTGGAATTGAAGTTTTGGAAAACTTGCATTTCTTGCATTTCTTTGTATGAGTGTACATTGGCCTTTTTATTTAGGAATCTGAAAACCTGTTTAGTACTAGGGAATGGATGCTGGTTTCTAGCATGGGTGACTCAAACACCTCCAGCATGTGAATCTGACCACTTACTTAGAAGCCAGAAGAGCACATCAGCCAACTTTTTTTTTTCTTTCAGAATTTTGTGTGTGGCCCCTTTAGATTAAAGGTGAAAATTCAGTCATCTTGTTTTGTGTTCTTCTGCCCTTTCCTGGAGAAAGAATGATTGTTCCTAAGGAAACATCATCTCGCCAGCTAGGCCCAAATTCTTTCCTATTGCTCTAATGAAAAAGAAACTTCCCCCAGTAATGAATGCTATCTTCTTTAGAATCTGAATTAATCACTTTTTTTTGGAGACCAGTAGCATCTACATTTTAAACAGGAAACTCACCTTAATCTGCTAAATAAAAATACATTCTAAGCTTCACTTTAGTACAGATATTATTTAATAGCCTTTGGAGAGAACTGGACACTGGGCCCTTATTTTTTTAAGTTTGAGTCCAAATTTTCTGGGGGTGGAGAATCAGAAAATACTTGTTCTTTTCTCTGTCTCACCCTAAATTGTTCCCTACAGTTCGGACTATTGGGTTTTGAATACCTTATAGTTGACTGTCCAGCATATATTAACTAGGCCTGACTTAGGCCTTATCTCCTGTTTTAAAATGCCAGTTTACAAATCTGAGCCTAGAAACACAAGTGGGTTAGGTTCCTGAATTCTCTGATGTTTTTGCAGATGACTGAAATACCTACCCACAAGTGTTCCAAAGAGGTACTGGTGGGCCCACTAGAAAGCATGCTGTAATATACAGCTCCTGCCCTCCAGTCCCCACCACAGTATCCACACTTCAATCTCTGAAAAGTTCAATGTGATCTAGCAGCAGGACTAAAGGGAGAGGGGGATGGGAGTGATGGTTATGAATAGATGTGTTAAATACCTACCTGTTACCAGCCACCAGGCTAGGCTTTTCACCTTTGTCCTCTTATTTGATATAACGATGGGGGGGGGCTGGATATTTGTATTTTATAACAGAAATACAGGTTAAGTGACATGCTCCACAACTCGCTATTATTGATCATAAAAAAAAATTACTGGAATCTACATGCCAAGCATTGTTGCAGTTGCAGAGGATAACTGTGGTGAACAAGACAAAGGCACTTGTCTTCTTGGAGCTTACATTGTAGTAGGGAGAGGCGATGATACATTTGTAAGCAAAAGCTAAAATAGTGTGATGTGATTGTAACAGATAGTGCAGGGTGGCTGCAGAAAAGCTGAAGCAGACACAAGCTGAGACGTGGATGAACAGAAAGCAAGCATGCCAGCCCCAGGAAATGAGCTCATCATTTGGAGGGAGGAAAAGGAGCAATACTGAAGGTGGCGAAGCAGTAAGAGATGAGTCAGGCCAGTTCATAAGGGTTTTATAACCCAAGGACGGGAGATAGTTATTCTGAGATGGGAAGCTGTTGGAGTCTTGCTCATGGGAGTGAAGTGCTCTGACTTTACTAAGTGGCAGGGTCGGAGCTGGAAGAGATTTAATCAGGCGGCTGCATGCCCCATGGCACCACAGAAGAGGACTCCCCGCCCTTTCCTTCCCCAAAGTACAGGAAAGCTGGGCCCACTGTAGCCTGGCAATGGCTCAGCAGTTCTCCAAGATTTTGACTTCTGTTTCCAGGTTCCCCTGTTTTCCTAAGAAACTCTGTTTATGGGATTCATATAAGCAATGTGACTTTGTGTTTTTTACTCTAATCCGATTTGAATGGCCCTTTTCTGTCATCAAGAGAGAATCCCCAAGTGTACCATAACGCAATGCCACAAATTAAACTGGGCCAGCATTGCTGTTTTTCTTTGCTAATACCTGCAGGGGGCAGGGTTGCCCGTATAATGAACCAAAGGGACAGGTGAGTTTAAAATTTTTTTATCATATTTTGTATTGCGGTAACATGGGTTTACAATATTGTATATGATTTAACCTAGGAGACAAGGTTCACACCTTTAGGTGTATGTTCTCCCCATGCCCACCACTGAAGCACCAGGGCTCCGCCGTAGTCTATTGAACCCCCAACCTTTACTCCCCCACCCAACACCCTCTCTCTGGTAGCTTCAATTCTGCAGTCAGATTTCTAGGGTTTGTTTTGATTTGGCTTTATCTGACTTCTGGTTTCTCTGTATTCCGTATGTGAGTGAAGTCACCCAGTCTTTGTCTCCTCCTGACTTATTTTCCTTAGCATAATCCTCTCTAGTTCCATCCATGTAATAGAAAATGGAAAGATATTTTTTTGGCTGAGTAGTAATTCATTGTGTATATCTACCACTCATCTGTTATTGGGCATTTAGGCTATTTCCACAAGTTGACGATTGTAAATAGTGCTACAATGAACATAGGAGTGCGTGTATCCTTTCAGCTTACTCTTTTTTTAATTTTTTAAATTTTTTTTAAAGGAGAGAAAGTACATTGAACTTTATTTATTTTTAAATTTTTATTTATTTATTTATTTATTTATTTATTTATACAAGCACTGGGTACAGTCAGAAGCACGGGAGGGTGAGAGAATTCACCAGAGCCAGAGCGGGGAGCAGAACAGGCAGAAGGACCGAAGTACACTGCTGAGGGGAGCAGCGGGCAGCAGGAGAGGTCTGCGCGCCATGTGGGACCCTCCTCTGGTGGCCGGGGAGCAACCGGGGATCGAACTGGCACTGCAGAGACTGCGGGCAGCTTCGCAACCCAGCGCTCAACTGCTGCGCCACCGGGGAGGCCCATCCTTTCAGCTTAGTGTTTCATTCCTCAGATAGATACCTACGAGTGGAATTGGTTGGTCATATGGTAGTTCTGTTTTAATTATTTTGAGAAACCTTGGCACTGTCTTCCATAGGGACTGGAATAGTTTACATTCCCACA